TCACAACTCCCTTTACTCAGATTCCGAGAGCTCTCTTCATGTTTTTTTAGGTTGTCCCACTTTCTCTCCACTCAAATTCACCAAACTGCAAGCATTCGCATTGACGCATCCCCTGCTGCATGATGATTCCGTTCTCCCCACCTCCCACTTCCTCACTCCTGCCTCAACCCTCTTGGCCTTTTTCTTCTCCCCATAACTGCAGGGTCTGGTGTTTGGTCTGGAAAAGCTCTTGTGATGGGCATGGCATGTCACGTGCCTCCTCGCCTGCGGTACCTGTTATAAGGAACCCCCATCCGCTGTGCCTTCTCGTCCATATTAGTTTTATTAACATCACAACTACCGTACAACAACGTTTTTACTCAGAGAATCAACACCAAACGACCAATCAAGCACCAGGCATCTGGAGTTGCAATGCAACAGCTGTACTCCATTGTCAGGGACAGAGCCATGAGAGTAATCAGAGGCATGCAACGTCCCTCTGACGAGGCGCTAGTCATCTGGAGTTGCAACAGCTGTACTCCATTGTTAGGGATAGAGCCATCAGAGGCACACCACGTGACCACGTCCCTCTGACTGCGGCTGCTACATCAATGATGGCAGCGACAACCAGCCTGGCACACTAGTGCACAGCACGAGAGGAATCACCCTGCAGCAGCTGGAGCACCAGCAGCAGCAGTAGCTGGGATTGAAGGTGGAGGAGGGCGCATACATACAGCCTCGTGTTGTATGCTAGAACCAGCAGCACCAGCCGTGCGACATGCATCATCAGCAGCACCATCAACAGCAGCAGCGATATCACTCTCACTCACCTCCCCAGCATTCACAAGGCATCATGCAACGGCGTGCAGAGCACTCTCATGCTGCCGGCGAGCGTGTTTACTCCCCCCCACACGAGTGCCTGTTTGCTTCCAACACCACCAGCAGCCCTGCACTCCCTGATGGCAAACCCAGCAGCCGTAGCACAGGAGGAATCACCCTGCAGCCGCAGCACAGGAGGAATCACCCTGCAGCCGCAGCAGCAATTGGAGTTGGGACTACAGCTTTTTGTCCTTTGTTGATTACCGTAATATTGTGCCAAAACACAAGCTGGTTGGTTATCCTCCTGACACAAAGGCAGTTTCTAGTTTTCACCCTGCCCTGCTTTGGAAGACAAACATGTTGGAACAAAATGCCCCAATAAAATTTCCAGCCACAAAAACATATTCAATATATGGTACAATTCCTGTCATTCACATATATTAAAAGAAACTAAAAACGTTACTAAGTACATATTCCAAATTCACTGCATCTCCATGACCTACACAAAGGACACTTATGCAAAACAGCTGCATGGCCTATGCTTATGCCTCAACATGGCAGCTATCTACAAAGCTGCACCCTCAAACAACCTGATGGAGCCTACCACCATGTATCGGGATGGTAGTCCTGGTGCGACATGAGGCCATGCCTCACGTCAAGATCGGCCGGAACTGGTTCTGGGCCAAGCGTCGTGCAGCCGTGGACATTCAGCTCTCGCAGCAGCGTCATGTACCGCAGCTCTTGTGATGGCAGGGACTGAAGCTGCTCACAGCCACTCAGATCCAGCTCCCTAAGCCTCGACAGATGGTGGAGGTTGGGAGGGAGGAAGTGAAGCGATGTATTGCTAACATCCAATCTGTGCAGGTAGGTGAGGGCGGTGATAGAACAGGGCAGGCTTGTCAGGGAGGAGCAACTATGCAGGCTGAGATCACCCAGTCGTGATAAGACAGAAAGGGTTTCAGGAAGATGGGTCAGACTGGGAGCTTCAAGATGAAGAGATCTGAGTTGCACAAGGCATGATACACTCTCTGGAATCTCCAGCAGCGATTCCGCCCCTTCCACGTGCAGCTGACGCAGATGAGGCAGAACAAAGCCGATATCATCAGGCAGGTGTTGCAGAGACTTGGCACGTGAGATGTGCAGAACGCGGAGGGATGAAAGGAACCGGAGAAGGAGTGGAAACTCGGTTTGTTCAGAACTGAGGCGCATCTCCAGGTGCTCAATCCGAGAGAGGCAACGGCTGCTGGCTGGTGCGTCCATGATAGTAACCTGAGCTAACCTCAAAATCTTCAGATTTGGGGTCGATGACATGTCAGGCAGAATGACGCTGCTGGTGTCATTTCCCAATCTCAAGGTTTCCAGCGACCGTGGCAAAGATTCTAAAGGTTCCTTCAAGAGAACACAGCCCGTCAGATCCAGCTCCCGCAGGCATGAAAGGTATCCCATGGCTCGTGGTGCAGAAGCGAGTTTGTAACACATGTGAGCCTTGAGAGTCTGTAGGCAGCTCAGCTGAGTGATGGATTCTGGCAGTTCTGTCAACTCCTTGCACCAGCTCAAGGTCAACTCTCGCAGGTCACCTAGCTGGCCTGTACCCTCTGGAAGGTGAATGATGGGACAGTCTGTGATATCAAGCCGTGTTAGAGAAGAGCGACGACTGAATGACGACGGCAGCTGCTGCAGGGAGGCACATCTGTTCAGCACCAAAAAGCGGAGGCTGCTCAACTCGCCTATCTCCTCCGGGATTGAAGTCACCTTTAACTCCCTGATGCTCAACGATTGAAGAGCAGTCAAGCAGGAAATTGCTGCAGGGAGGATGTCAATGCTCCCACAGTCCATGAACAGCTTCTGAAGCCCGGTGAGTAACCCAAGAGAATCAGGAAGTTTCCTCAGCGTCCAGCTTCTCAACACTAAGGACTTCAGCCTTGAAAGATCTCCAAGATTTTCAGGTAGGCTGGATATACTGCAGTAGGAAATTGTGAGTATCTCCAAGGTGCTGATGCTTGTGAGGGAATCCGGCAGCTCAGTCAAATCGCGGCTTTTGGAAAGGCAGAGTTCGAGAAGTGCCGGGAATCGTTCGCCAAGATCTTCAGGTAAGATGTTCGGGACATGGGTTAGCAGCAGACGTTGAAGGCGGAAGCACGGTAATTCTGACGGAAACATTGAAGGGAAATCCGTCGACCCGTGCACGAATCCCAGCGAACGAAGCGTCGTCAGCTGGCCAATTGAGAAATTCCCTTCAAAATCGTGGAACCGTGTCTCTCCTGGGAAGAACAGGCTGGTCAGATTTGGAAGGCTGGTTAATGGCGACATCTGATGCAGTCGCATGTCCAACTTCATGTCCAACGTCTGGATCGAAAGATTCCTGAGAGAAGACAGATTCGCGAAGTTGGGATCCTCCAGAAGCGATATTCCGCCCAGTGACAGCGTGTGCAGGCGCGTCAACTGGAAGAAGGAAGAAGGAAGCTTCGTTGCCCGATGAAGACACTGCAGTGACAGCTGCTCCAAGCGGCGACAATGGCGGAAGAGACAATCCAGGCCAGGTGCAGTGACGGGGTGGTCCGAATCGTCAATGGAAGTCGTCGTTTCCTCGTCATACTTGAGGACTTCGTCGAAAGCAATGCCTGGGCCGACATAAAGAACAGTTAGCTTCGGAAAGGAAGAGGCGAGAAAGGCTAGAAAATCGTTGTCGATCATTTCCATGCTTCCGTTGCTCAAGTGCAGTCGAGTGAGATTTGGGAAGAACACCAAAACGCGTTTCAGATCCTGGCGAGAAACCAGACGGTCTTGTAAAACGTGAAGCGTTGTGACGGATTCGTGTGCAAGCTCCCGCCAGCGACGGCACACAGAGGCGATGAGGAGAGCATGTGCGATATTGGCAGAGGCTGGAGGCGTCGTAAAATGCGGATCAGGTTCTGGATCTGGTTCGTCCCCTTGATTAGCGTAATCGGAGAGAGACGATGAAGACGTCGGCCGGAAAGCATCAGAATACCAAAAGATCCTGACAAGAGCATCGTCAGGAAGAGAATGGATGCTTGTGGAAGACATGTCCTAGAGTTGACCTGCGAAAGCTCGGATTTTTTTATCTTGGAGACAAATTCCTACTCTTGTGAGACTACCTTTAGGAGAGGAATCTGATAAGACTAGGAAACAAGATCGAACACAACGGGAGCTTTCAGGCCTGATTTTTTGGACAATGCAGCTTCTTACCTGTTGGTACAACGACCAATGTTGTCTGAGTCCAGCATCACTCAATCCAGCGTGTGGAACAGAGCAAGAGCTGGGAGCAGGGTGTGTGTAACTTGCTTCAATCCCGTTTGTGTCACGGAGGACCAGAGAGCAGGAACGCAAGGAATCGACGGAGCAGGGCTGGGCTGCATGCTTTGCTTCTCACGCAACACCAAATGGAATGCTTCAGCTTGGTCGAATGTGCGTGTAGGGAGGGGGAGTCGAACCGTTGTAAGTTGTTTGTAACCCGCTGTTCTCGGGATTTCGGTTGGGGTTCCGCCATCCTGTCACCACGTCATGCTCCTGTCCTCCTGACACTGAGCGACGATCTGCGACAAAACGATTGCATTGTACGATTTCATAGTGAGCAAATTGATTGGAATTGTGAAGGCGGATATTGGAATTTGGAACAACCTATTTTCCCAATATTGTAGACTTTTCTCACACGAAGTAGTGATGTAAAATGTGAAAAATCAGGGTGCACAGTTCACCACCATAAATGAGTTGCTGCAACATCCAGGAAGTGTCATGTTCGATAATGAATGACCCCCTAATTTAGGGCACCTATACAAAGCAACATAACCCACCTCTTCAAACCAGGAGCAACACAACCATAAAAACATAAGGCATATCTTCAAAGACGGGCAAATCACCACCACTTCTTCTCCATCTTCTTTTTAAGCTGTGCTGCCAAGTCACTGAACTCAGCTGTATCCGCCTCCAGCTCATCCGCCATATCGTTCAGTTTCTGCCATGCAAGCATTGGAGTAAGAAATGAGCGAGTTTGACATGGGATGAGAGACGTGAGTGAGAGCTGGAAAGTGAAGGGAATGTCGGCCGGTAGACAAGAGAAAAAAGAAGCGGTGGAGGGAGGAGTTGGAAGAGAGAGCTAGGGAATAACTGCAGGCAAACAAAAGTAGAGCACCCCGTATGTAGTGGATAGCATGCGATAGGATGGATGGCATGAAACAACGTACACTGATCTTCTCTCCTCGTTCCACCAGCTTGTTCCTTGCATCAGCTGCTGCAGCCCCTGCTGAGCCAGCAGGTGGCTGCATGAGACACATGTGGGACAGGTGAGACATATGAGGAAGGTGAGAGAGACATGAGGAGCAGGTGAGAGAGATGAGGAGTAGGCCAGAGACATGAGGAAAACGTGGAGCAACAGATTAAGATGGCATTGACCTGGAAGAAGACCCCAAGGGAAACACACACATGCTACAAGGTGCGAGATAGCACTGTCAAAATGGATGTCATGGTGAAGCCAAATCTGTGCGGAAAGTGCCTAGCACTCACGAGCTTCGATTTGTAGTTGTGCGCTGCTTTGATATCAGCCACTGATCGTTGCTTCGGCACAACTGGCTCAGGCTCCTTGGCTGCACGGGATGGCGTGTGGGAGGCAAGGGCGAAGGGGGACAGGTGGGAGGCAAGGGCAAAGGGGCCGTGTGAGAGGAAAGGGCAAAGGGGGACGTGTAAGTGGATATGTGAGAGGAGATGCTGCGTTGGCACCACTTTGATTGCCCTTTGGCTTGGGTTCCTTGGCTGCACTGCACAGGAGGACATGTGAGAGGGAAGGGCGATAGGGAACGTGGAGTAACGGGAAAATGGTGAACGGGGATGTGCTACGGGGATTGCAAAAGGGCTACGTGTTAGAGGGGAGGCTGTGTAGGAGATGCAACGTGTGAGAGGCAAGGGCGAATGGGGGTGCTTGAGAGGCGAGGAGAAAAGGTGGACATACGCGAATTGTAAACGAGAGCCAGCACTGAGTGTGGAGGACTTAGAACGAGAGACGGGATACCGAGAACGAGGCCTAGGAAGAGCACTGACCACTAGAAGAGGCGCTGCTGCTGGTGCTGCTGCCAGAGAACCAGCCGAAGAGACCACTGCTGGATTTGAAGGAGTCTGGTAGTGGGATGGTACGACAAGTGGGAAGGCGGGATGAGAGGGAAGGCAGGATGACAAGGAGAGGGAGCTAGTTATAGGAAAAGGCAGAGGAAAAAGCAGCCGAAGTCACCCCTGGTGGATGAGAAGGAGTCTGGTGGTGGGATGGTGGGATTAGAGTGCGAGTGAGCTACATCCTCGCCCCGCCTCCTCCCCTCCACCCTTTCCACTGCAAACCGTGCGCCACCACCACCACCACTGGCATCACCATTACCAGCAGCACAGCCGGCATGGCAGCTGACACTGCAACACACATGCAGGCATTTGACTCGCTAAAGACTGCTCCAGGAGACCCGTTTAGAGAAGTCACCAACAGTGTTGGATCCAGTGGAGCAGTAGCCACAGCAGCGACAGTAACGACAATAGCAACAGCACCTCCGAGCAACATGGTTGCTCAGTTACCATCTAACACAGCACTGCTAGACTTTCTGTGTGGGAGTGGGTCGGGGGCTGATGGCTTGGAGGCATGCGAGGAAGAAGCACAGCCCGGCTTGCTTTACAGGGCCAGTATCCCCTGTGGCAACGACCAGAGCACTACCCCATTCGGCTCTCTCAGTGACACCTTTGGAAGCACACAGACTAACCGTGGGAGCAGCTTCTGCAGCAGCTATGGGGACATTCAGGGTGTGACTCGTGCTGGGGGGTTGTGTGGTGAGAGCAGCCGGTGCGGCAGGGAGGGAGGGAAGAGGACAGGGCTGTTTGACAAGCTGACTGATGAGAACGTGTATGGTATTGCTGCTGCTGATGGTGGTGGTAGTGGCAGTGGTGGCGCAGGTGTGAGTGGTGTGAGCAGGAGAGCCAGCAGGTGTGGGAAGAACGAGACAGAGAGGAAAGACAGTAGGAGCGAGAGTAGGAGTGAGAGTAGGAGTGGGAGTGTGCACAGGCATTCGAGTGCAAGCAGCAGGAGCAGCGAGGGCGGCAGTGAGAGAGCATCCCTGTACAGCCACCACCACCACCACCGTCACTCAACCCAGGGCGGCGGGAGCGGAGGCAAGGGGAGGAGAGCGGAGACGGGTAGTGAGGGAGGGGAGGCAAGGGAGAGGGAGAAAGATAAGGAGAAGGAGAAGGGGAGGAGGGCGGGGTTATGGAGTGCACGTGGGCTGGTGAAGGTGTTAACACGGGGATCCATGGATTTGGGGCTGGTGGTGGATGAGGAGGACCTCATGGAGGAGGGCGATGCGAGGCGAGAGCTGGAAGGAGTGGTGCAGCGGTGAAAAGGAGAGTGCAGGGCTGGTGAAGGTGCGGATAAGGGGATTCATGGACCTGTGGGAGGGGGAGACATGAGAGAAACGTGGGGGAAGAGCGGAGAGAGTGAGAGCGATGAGAGGAGGAAATTCGCTGAACGGACTGCTGATGGTAGAAAAGGAGCCGAGTGATGGGATGCCTGGATGAGTGCAAGAGAGAGGGGGCGAATAAGCAGGGGGGAAAGAAGAGGGGAGAAAGCGGGATGTAGAAAGTGTTGCTGGGAAGAATAGGAGACTGGAGATGGGATGGATGGAGGGGTGTGAGTGGTGAGAGAAAGGGCGGAGAGCGATTGAAAGAGATGATGAGAGACTACTACTTAAAGGGATATGTGGAGTGTGCTTCTGCTGCTGACGCTGCTGCTGCTCCAGCTTTTGCTGCTTAGCTCTTCTCACCTGAGCTTCCGAGCCCACTTCCCAGACAGCCCACACACACGCCATTTTCTATCTCACCACCAAACACATAGCCACGCTGTTACCAAGGCACGCCTAGCTCCTTCTCTCTCACCTGAGGTGGTAACCACAGGGTTGCGGTCGAGTTTCTTGGCCATGCCAGTCAGCAGCGCCTCTGATTAAAACCCGTGCGGCTTCACACAACGGTGTTGCGATCGAGATTCTTGGCCATGCTATTCCCGGTCCCCTAGCTGCATCGCACCTGAGGTGGTGACAACGGGGTTGCGGTCGAGTTTCTTGGCCATGCCATTCAGCAGCTCCTTGAGCACGCCGTCAAACTCGTCAAACTCCACAAACCCACTCTGGTCCTCGTCTGCCTTGCTGAACACCCGCGCACACAGCTCCTCCGCCTCTCCTGGCGTCAGCAGCTGCACCTCGAACGAGGATGTGTACTTCTTAAAGCCCAGGATGATCTCGGTGCGGGAGAGCCGGCCCCGGTGGAGGATGTCCCACTCCATGAACAGCTGGCTCGCGACGGCGTCGAAATGGTTGCGGTCGCCTGTGAGCTGTAGGGGAGGAAGTGAGGATGGGAGAAGAGCAGGAGAGGATGGGGGCAGAGGATGAAGGAATGGGAGAGCCGGCCCCGGTGGAGGATGTCCCACTCCATGAACAGCTGGCTCGCGACGGCGTCGAAACGGTTACGATCGCCTGTGAGCTGTATGGGGGGGCAGAGGAGGGGAGGATGGGGGCAGAGGAGGGGAGGACGGGGGCAGAGGAGGGGAGGATGGGCGCAGAGGAGGGGAGGACGGGGGCAGAGGAGGGGAGGACGGGGGCAGAGGAGGGGAGGACGGGGGCAGAGGAGGGGAGGATGGGGGCAGAGGAGGGGAGGACGGGGGCAGAGGAGGGGAGGACGGGGGCAGAGGAGGGGAGGACGGGGGCAGAGGAGGGGAGGACGGGGGCAGAGGAGGGGAGGACGGGGGCAGAGGAGGGGAGTGCGGGGGCAGAGGAGGGGAGGGCGGGGGCAGAGGAGGGGAGGGCGGGGGACATGGAACAAGCGGGTTGTGATCGTCTGCCATTTGTTTGTTTCGTTTCAATGGCTGGGTCAGCCCCATTCCTTGACCCTGATCCTCAGCTGTCGCTTCAAGTCGACCCAGAAGATGTCTTTGTCGGGTTCTTGGTTCTTTCTTTCAACGACTGGATCAGGTGGGTCAATTTCTTTCTTAGTTCCTCGCACAGTCTCTTCGGCCCCCACCCACCCACCCACCCACCCCTCCATTGACCCACCTGGTGCACGAAGGAGCCGGTGAAGACGGGTTTCTTCTCGGCGGAGAGGATGATGGGGCGATGCCACGATGGGCCAGCTCCTCTGTTGCCAGCTCCTTCACCATGCCCACCTGATTCTCAGTGCCGGTGAGTGGTGCCCCCCGTCACCCACTTACCACGCTAATAACAAGGGGTCCCCACCGGGAACCCACTGACTTGCCCCACACTGGTAGGCAGTAAAAACCCCCACTCACCCACCCATCCACTGACTCGAACCCACCTGGCGCACAAAGGAGCCGGTGAAGACGGGTTTCTTCTCAGCGGAGAGGATGATGGGGCGGCACGCCAGCTCCTCTGAGAGCTCCTTCACCATGTCGCCCAGCATCAGCTCAAACTCCCCCTCGTCCACCTGCAGGTCGCTGCCTCCGTACTTGCCTATCACTCTGGAGAGTAGCGCGTCCACTTCCGTGTGGGCTGTGAGAGACAGAAAAGGGAGGTGAGGGGAGAGTGTGGCCTATCAGCGCCACCCCCTCGTCCACCTGCAGGTCGCTGCCTCCGTACTTGCCTATCAGTCTAGACAGCAGCGCGTCTACCTCGGTGTGGGCTGTTGGGAGCAGGGGGTAGGAGGGTGTGGGAGAGGGGAAGGGAGGTCAAAGGTGGAGGTGGGAGGATTTGAACTCCCCCTCGTCCACCTGCAGGTCGCTGCCTCCGTACCTGAGAAATTTCGATTCGATTATCATAGAAGGGCGTCTACTTTGGTATGGGCTGCGAAAGGGAGAGAGGCAGGGATAGGGAGATCGAGTGTAGCGAGAGAAACGATCAACACCCCTTCCCCCCTCTCTCCCCTCTCGTTCAGCTGCAGCTCGCAGTAACACCGACAACAAACTCAGCAGCAACAGGAACCACAAGAAAAATCCTCGCCGCCTGACAGCTGCATTATTGAGATGCCTCAGACTAGTTAATTCAGCTCACCTGAGGGAGAGGAAGGCGGGCTTGAGCCTCAGCGAAGCTAAAAAATCGTTCATAACGAAACACGAAAAGGCCTTCCCTGTCTCACGTGTGGGCGAGCTTGTTGTGAGTCGACTCAAAAGAGAGTCAAACTTGAGTCGCCTCAAGAGAAGGCCCTCCTGTCTCACCTGAGGGCGGCACGAGGCCGAGGGAGACGAAGGCGGGCTTGAGCTCGAGGCGAGAGAGCGTGCCGCTGCCGTCCTCGTCAAACTCCCTGAAAATGTCCGACACTATCTCCTTGAACTGCTGCGGGTTGTCCGCCAGCTCCCTCAGCACGCCCCCATCGTACACCTCCACCACGACGGGTTTGGCTGACAGGGAGGAGACGAGGAGGGGAGTGGGGGAATGGGAAGACAAGGAGTGGGATGAGGGTGATGGTGACATGGGAAAATGGGGAAGAGGGGAGTGGAGTCCTTGTTGAAGACCTTGAAGATGTCAGCGACTATCTCCTTGAACTGCTGCGGGTTGTCTGCTAGCTCCCTCAGCACCCCCCCGTCATACACCTCCACCACCACGGGTTTGGCTGACAGGGAGGGGGAGGGGGGCATGGGGAGGGAAGTGAAATCCTTCAACTGATCGCCTGTCTCGGCGGGTTGTCAGCTAGCTCTCGCAGCACCCCCCCATCATACACCTCCACCACCACGGGTTTGGCTGACAGGGAGGAGACGAGGAGGGGAGGGGGGGAGTGGGGGACATGGGGAGGAGGGTTCATGAAGACCTTGTTGAACTCCTCGAATATGCCGCTTATTATTCCTTGAACTGCTTAGGGTTGTCGTTCACCAGTGCGACTTTTGAGAATTCTCAAAGGTTGAACTCCTCGTATAAAGCCACTTTTTATTCCTTGAACTGCTTGGGGTTGTCGCGCACCTCCTCCACCACCACTGGCTTGACTGATGGGAGGAAAAGCAGGGGAAGGGAGGACATGGGGAAGGAGGGAGGAAGGTGGAGTCCTCATCATTCTCTTGAAGACGTCCCTGATTGTTCCTTGAAAGGCTGTGGTGGGTTGTCAGCTATCTCCCTCAGCGCCCCGCTGTGGTACGCCTCAACCGCCGCGGGTCTGGCTCGACGGAGTACAGAGAGGAGATGCGGGAGAAAGGGGACGACAGGAGCAACGAGCACGGAGCACGGAGCACGAAGTGAATCCCTTGTGGCTCTCCTTGAAAATGTCGCCTGCCGTCTCCTTCCGACCAAATCCATGCTTCGTGTATGCCTCTCAGGCACTTGTGCTGCTCCTTGCGTTCCGAAGCGAGCCCCCCTGGGAGGAGGGCAAGAGGGTAAGGAGAGGGGGAGGAGTCGACCCCTGTGAGACGATCCCTGGAACGAGTCTCCAAAGGCGTCGACACTCACCTTTTGTAAGCCCCGAACAGAGTTTTTTGCACGAAGAAAATGCATTTCAGGTCGACTGCTGTGAGGAATGTGAGAGTGAGATAGTGAAATGTTGTTCCAGATGCACGACGATTCACAATTGGGACAGCTACCGTACGCCATTGCACGGCACGCGCCATGTCAACATACGTCATGTCACCGTATGCTCGTTGTTGATTGTGTTCCTGAAATATACGAGAACGCTTAATTCGGTCCTCGATTCATATTCTCTTTACCTCGCATTCGCTCTGACTCACATTCGCTCTGACTCACACTCGCTCTGACTCACACTCGCTCTGACTCACATTCGTTCTGTCTCACCATCAAGCGCCTCAGAAGAAAACAACAGAAACACTCTGAAAATAGCGATGAATGGTGGAAAGCAATGGGAAGCAGAGACCGGTGGTGCTTACTTTCGAGCTCCTGAGAGACGGATTTTAGAAACTCTTTGGAAATGGTGCTGAACGACTCTCGGTCGACCTCCTCACTTAGGTTGACGCTGTAAAGCAATGAGCTTCTAGGCTTACCGTCGAGCTCCTGAGAGACGGATTTTAAGAACTCTTTGGAAATGGTGATGAACGACTCTCGGTCGACTTCCTCATTTAGGTTGTCCGCCATTAGCGTCGTGAACAATCGATCCACTAATGCGTCTCCTTCCGCTGTCGTTCCGGCTGGCGGTAGTCCTAGGAGCGTCCCGAATCGCACTAATGCGGGTTTAAGCTCCGCGCGCGAGAGCTTCCCGCTCTTGTCGTCATCCAGAAGATCAAAGTATTTGTTCAGAAGGTTCTAAACTCGTTATCGTCGTTGAGCAGTTTCTTGATCTTCTTCCCATCGAGATAGCTTCCTTTCGACAATGATCGCTGTAAAAACGCTGGCTTTTTAAATGCTTTCATGGCAGCAACCGAGAGCGAGAGAGAGGGGGAAGGAGAGTGAGACCGTGCTAAGAAACGGAACGAGGAAGCGACAGTGCAAGCAGAAACTCTCCTAGAATCTGAAAAATGAATTGACCAGACAGACTAGATGTTATGAAGAAACTGGAAGCGAAGTAAGCTGGAGCAAATGCAACACCTCAGGTATATTTTGTCAGGCATTGCACCGTCAGGCATAATTTCTGCCAGTGTCCGTGTGCTCCTCCCCTGATCTTCATTCAGTACGGTTCAAGTTTCCACTTGGATCTTCGGTTATTGCTCTTGAACGATCTGGAACTTCACGCACCTGAAAGAACCGAGGTGGATTTGAAACAAGGGGACGGAATGGACACCGCGTTTACTGGAAGGAAACTCTGATGTTTGCCGCGAAATGTGGAGGCAGCAATGTCAAGGGCGAGGACGAGCTCCAATGGTGAACGGCCCGTACAAATGTCGACCTTAAACCGTACTCAACCATTCGTAACAGAGCGTAACCATATCAGGACGGATGTCCCTCATCCACCTCCTCAATCAAGAACGCTGACGTAGCCTTTGGATCCCTGCACTGTTGGACCACACTCTTCAGCTTCACCGTCAGCCGTGGACGTCAAGTGTCCAGGTGGTAGCCAATGGGTGCTTGCCAGGTTGTCAACCGCTTAGAATCTTGAAGCTTGTGGTGCCACCAAGTCAGTTTGTCCTTTTCGGGTGCCCCTACCATCAGGGCCTGTGGTCCCCCAACTACTGTAACCAGAGCGCCATGCCCTGCCCATGCCATGCCGTACTGTACCGATTGTTTTCTTGTCCTAAGGTTGGGACTTGGGGGAGCGGCTGGCGGAAGCGCCGTTTGTTGGTCGGTTCTCCACAGTGGTTGGCCGTGCCAAACATCCGGACGCATACGCTATACAATGATGCTGCGCTGCAAGCAGGAGATCGTAGCTCTACATTCCTGCCGCGGCAAAAACGTCGACATGCTTAGATTATGATCAAAAGGCGCAATATCAAAAGTCAACGATGTCAGATTGTCACAAGGTTCGATGGGGCTTCGAGCGGTAGAACCACATTATCAGAGAACATCAGTCTCGAACCGTTCACTACACTCCATCGCTAGGTGTATCGCGGTCCGCCATACCAAGTCACCTAATCTCAACTTCTTCAGAACGCGTGCTTATATCGTTAGCAGAATCTGAGCTTTCCTCTCTTCGCTGGCCCGACAACTGTCAAGATTCGCCCTTTTATAATCTGCTCTCTTCAAGCACTCCTGGCTGGGGACCCACCTCCCTTCATAGCATCACATCGCATTCCGATGCATTCGACCACGCTACGGTCCTACGTGGCGTTACACTCACTCTCGCCGTTACAATCACGTCCTGAGACGTCCCAGATATACTTGCAATTCGTCGAGCCGCAGCGCACATGCCGCTGCTCTTGCACCCGAGAATTGACGCCACCACGAAGATCGGCGACGAAGGCGGAGAGGCGGCTGCTCGACGACGGAAAGCGTCCCCCGTCGATTCTCGGATGGAGATCGCAATGTTCGCGATTACTAGATAGGTCGCAGCCACAGTGTCGCAGCCGTCGCCGTCGCTGTCGCCGGGGAGAATGGCAGGCGGCTGCGACAGCAGGGGGAGGGGAGCGATCAGGGGCGGAAAGGGGAGGGGGAAAAAGGGAAGGGGGAGGGGAAAAAGCGGATGGCGGATTAGGGTTGGCGCGGAGGGTGGTTGAGGAGCTTCCAGATGGGAGGAAGCACGAATTCGCTACAGTGCAGCACTGCGAGGACTTTTGGCTTATAGTGAGGCACCTGGTAAGGAGGCATTTGGTTGAAACACACTCTGTCTGCCCCACGCAAGTACCGAACTCATTTCCCTTCAATCAATTCCTTCCCTTCTCTCCTCAATTCCCCCCTGCTCTCCTCTTTCCCCCCTTGCTCTCCTCAGTTCCCCTCTGCTCCCCTCAACCCTCCCTGTTTCCCAAAATCCCCCCTGCTCCCCCCACCACTGCCCCCACCAATCCCCTCTGCTCCCCTCAACTCCCCCCCCGCCCCCTTGTCTCGATCTCCCCTGCTCCCCTCCTTGCGCCAGATGCCACTGGCGTTCCACACGCCTGATCCAGGCGCAGGTGGCCCTTCAGGCGATTCCTCAGGTGAAACGGCAGATGGCACATCAGACAGTGACAACCTGATTGCTGCGGAGAGGCAGCAGGCGCTGAAGCTGAGGCTGCAGCTGAAACACAGAGCAGGAGAAGGGAGAGGTGCAGGTGGTGGGAAGATCAGCAATGGCCATGGGGGGACGAGGATGAATGATGCTTACGGGAGCAGCAGAGGGGGTTATGGGGGTGGGAGGAGTGATGGGAGCCATGAAAAATATGGGAGTGGTGCTGCGAAGAAGAGATACGATTTTGTGCAGTATCCACTGATTCGGCTGATTCACCGCGCTCGGGACTGCTCGCCTGTCACGGAGAAGCTGCTGGGCGGCGTGAGTTTGGATCTAGTGGCGGAAATGGCCGGCAAACTCACTGACAGCAAACTCACTGACAGCAAACTCACTGACAGCACTGGCGGCAGCGTCACTGCAGTGGCGGCTCCCCAACTGGGGGCCCTGCATGACGTCATCCTCACCACTGAGGAACTTGCAGAGAAGCTTCCGGCTTCTGCTGGAGCTGTGGGGGGGGCGGTGGGAGGGGCTGTGGGAAAGATGATGGGGGGGGAGGTGGGGGAAGGGGTTGGGGGACTGGGGGGGGGCATTTGGGGAAGCGTTGGGGGGAGCGTTGGGGGGGTTGATGGGGGGAAAGCGGGCTGTTCCTGCTGGTAAGTCGGTGCGCAGTAGAAGAGGAGGGGGGAATGGGGGTGACAGCACTAGCAGTAACAGCAGTACAGGTGGCGGCAACAGCAGCAACAGCAGCAGCAGCAGCAGCAGGCGGGGCAAGGAGCTGGTCGGCATTCTTTGTCCTACTCATGGACCAAAAGTGCACGTGCTGTGCAACGCGCGAGTGGTTCAAATGCCGAGAGAGCAAGCAGAGCAGCTCGAGACATGCCCCTGCTTGCCGGGATTAGCTCTCCCTGTCATGGTAGGTTGTGTGTGTGTGTGTGTGTGTGTGTGTGTGTGTGTGTGTGTGTGTGTGTGTGTGCGCGCGTGTGCACGCGCGTGCGCGTGCGCGTGTGCGTGCGCGTGCGTGTGCGTGTGCGTGTTTGTGTGCGTGTGCGTTGCGTGTGCGCGTGTGGCGTGAGCGTGCGCGTGCGCGTGCGCGTGCGTGTGCGTGTGCGTGCGTGCGCGCGCGTGCGTGCGTGTGTGTGTGTGTGTGTGTGTGTGTGTGTGTGTGTGCGTGCGTGCGTGTGTGTGTGTGTGTGTGTGTGTGTGTGTGTGTGTGTGTGTGTGTGCTGCATGTGATGTGATGGTGGGCGGGCGCTTTGTCGCAACTTTTGAGACGTCTCAAAAGGCGCTTTGTTGCACTAGACACAGACATGTTTCTGAGTGCCTGCTGGGAATGGCCCATCCTCTCATGCTATGTGGTGCTGCAGTGGTAACGCGTTCCCTGTCACGCATGCGTGCACGCACACACCAGTCAACAGCTCCGGTGTCCAACATTTGTAGGCATTTTTCCCCACCCATTCCTCCGCTCTCATAACTCCTGTCCTGTTCCCAACCATTCCCCACTCTCCTTCCTCCTGCCTGCCGCTAACCCCTCATCTCCCCTTTACTGAACTCCTCCTCTCCCTCCCTTTCCCCCCTTCCCGCCCTCCTCTTTTGCACCCCCCCCTGTGGTATCCTGCAACAGAGACCACCCTGGGTGCGTGTTATGGCACATGATGAGAACCAGCAGCAGCACGTGTACCTGGTACGTGTACAGTATGAAACATACTGCAATATGCAGTATGCAGCACGTGTACCTGGTACGTGCACAGTATGAAACATACTGCAATATGCAGTATGCAGCACGTGTACCTGGTACGTGCACAGTATGAAACATACTGCAATATGCAGTATGCAGCACGTGTACCTGGTACGTGCACAGTATGAAACATACTGCAATATGCAGTATGCAGCACGTGTACCTGGTACGTGCACAGTATGAAACATACTGCAATATGCAGTATGCAGCACGTGTACCTGGTACGTGCACAGTATGAAACATACTGCAATATGCAGTATGCAGCACGTGTACCTGGTACGTGCACAGTATGAAACATACTGCAATATGCAGTATGCAGCACGTGTACCTGGTGAGTATGTAGCTCAATGTGAGAAGCTTTCGATAATTCTTAAAAGTAACTCATATAGAGATGAGGACCACCAGTAGAATCATATGTCATTTCAACATTAAGGCACCTGTATGCAATACAGGTGCCAGGTACACGCGCTGCATACTGCATGTGGCATGCGGTATCTCCATGCATGCAATGCAGGTGCCTCAGTGTTGAAATCACTTCTGAGAATTCTCAAAAATTGATTTGAATCAACCACGAGCAGAAGCATATGTCCCCTGCTGTGGTATGCATGTGGCATGCAGTATCTCCACTCCACGCATGCAGGTGCCTCTACACTTTCTTCCATTGACTCGCCTCTGCGTTTCCCATCCTGCTCCTGCCATCTCTGTATCACCCCCCTTCAAACCCACCATGCATGCAGTCCAAGGGAGCAGCAGCGCGCTCTGTGCTTCGAGCCGTGGACCACTGCCACGGCAGGTTGCTACTGGACCTGCAGTCGCCCCTCTCTACTCTCCTCTCTCTTTTCCATCTATCCTCTTACCTCCATTTTTAACCCCTCACTTCTCGTGCAGTTCAAAAGTGCTGCAGCTCATTCCATTATACGAGCCACGCACCACTGCAGCAAAAGGCTGCTGCTGGACGTGTGGTCGCCCCTCTCTACTCCCCTCTCTCCTTCCCATTCATCATCTTGCCTCTCTGCCTGCACTGCACCCACTGTGCATTTCAAGGGAGCAGCAGCCCGTGCCGTGCTTCGAGCCATGGGCCACTGCCGCGACAGGCTGCTGCTGGATGTGCGTGCATCATCCTCTTGTACTCCTCTCCTCCCTACCCCCCCCTCACCCTGCAGGGAGGGGGGTGTAGGGAGGAGTATTCTCACCCTACAAGGAGAATTCTCAAAATCTCCGTGCGTGCATCATCCTCTTGTACTCCTCTCCTCCCTACCCCCCCCTCACCCTCTTCTCCTCATCCTCCGTGCAGTTTAAAGGAGCAGCAGCCCGGTCCATGCTTCGAGCCATGGACCACTGCCACGGCAGGCTGCTACTGGAAGGACGTGCAGTCGCCTCACCATGGGCCTCAGACAGACCCCCTCCCTTTGCTGCCCTCTCAACCCCCTCACCGCCCTCACCCTCCGTGCAGTTCAAGGGAGCAGCAGCCCGGTCCATGCTTCGAGCCATGGACCACTGCCACGGCAGGCTGCTACTGGACCTGCAGTCGCCCCTCTCTACTCCCCCTCGCCATCAGCAACAGCAGCAGCAACGGAAACAGCAGCAGCAGCATTCGAAACGACAGCAGCAGCAGCATTCGAAACAACAGCAGCAGCAGAATAATCTTCAGCAGCTGCGGCGCCTTGAGGCAGTTGAATCCACCAGTTGCATGCCCAGAGCCATCCCTCCCCGCATGGACAGCAATCGCTGCTTTGCAGCGTACCATGAGGCGGGGCATGCTCTTGTGGGGGCCTTGAGCCCCCTTGCTCGGGTGAGTGAAATAATGAGCGGGTGCAAGAGTGAGTGAGAGAGTGCGGTACGAATCCACCCCTACCCGCATGGACAGCCGTCGCTGCTTTGCAGCATACCATGAGGTGGGGCATGCTCTCATGGGGACGTTGAGTCTGCTTGCTTGGATGAGTGAGTGAGTGAGTGAGTGAGTGAGTGAGTGATTGTATAAGTGAGGATGTGAGGGAGCGAAAGAATGAGTGTAAGTTTCTGTATTCACAATTCGATTCCTCCCCCGGTGCACAGCCACAGCAGCAGCACTTACCCTTCTGTTTTGCAGCGCAGCGTACCCTGAGGCGGGGAATGCTCTTGTGGGGGTCCTGTCCTGAGTCAGTCCGTCCCCTTGCCCGGGTGAACGAGTGTGGGAGTGAGGGAGCGAGCAAGTGTACATATGTGTGTTTGCCACTTCATTCCTCCCCTAGTGGACTGGACTGTGGCGTACCACGAGGCGGGGAATGCTCTTGTGGGGCTCCTGAGTGCCCTTGGTTAGGTGAGCGAACAAGTGTTATGTTTGTGCCATCCCTCCCATCCCATCCCATCCCAACCCATCCCAACCCATCCCATCCCATCCCATCCCATCCCATCCCATCCCATCCCATCCCATCCCACCCCATCCCATCCCATCCCATCCCATCCCATCCCATCCCATCCCATCCCATCCCATCCCATCCCATCCCATCCCATCCCATCCCATCCCATCCCATCCCATCCCATCCCATCCCATCCCATCCCACCCCACCCCATCCCATCCCATCCCATCCCATCCCATCCCATCCCATCCCATCCCATCCCATCCCATCCCATCCCATCCCATCCCATCCCATCCCATCCCATCCCGCCCCATACCCCCAAGGGCCAATCAGGTGGAGGGGGTGTATTTGGAGGACGCGGGCCAATCAGCTGCGCCGGGAGGGCCCTACCGGCCAATCAAGTACGCGGGAGGGACGGACATCGTGTGGCGGGGGGAGATTGAGCCAATGCCGTTGCGACAAGTGGTGGTTCACGCCATGGCTGTGTGGCTAGCTGGCATGGTGAGGGTTGTACTGTGGTTACGCACACACGCGTGCACATGCACACACAGAAGCACGGGAACATGGGCATGAACATGCGCAGACATGCTACCAGAGGAACATGCGCAGACATGCTACCAGAGGAACATGCGCAGACATGCTACCAGAGGAACATGCGCAGACATGCTACCAGAGGAACATGCGCAGACATGCTACCAGAGGAACATGCGCAGACATGCTACCAGAGGAACATGCGCAGACATGCTACCAGAGGAACATGCGCAGACATGCTACCAGAGGAACATGCGCAGACATGCTACCAGAGGAACATGCGCAGAAATGCTACCAGAGGAACATGCGCAGACATGCTACCAGAGGAACATGCGCAGACATGCTACCAGAGGAACATGCGCAGACATGCTACCAGAGGAACATGCGCAGACATGCTACCAGAGGAACATGCGCAGACATGCTACCAGAGGAACATGCGCAGACATGCTACCAGAGGAACATGCGCAGACATGCTACCAGAGGAACATGCGCAGACATGCTACCAGAGGAACATGCGCAGACATGCTACCAGAGGAACATGCGCAGACATGCTACCAGAGGAACATGCGCAGACATGCTACCAGAGGAACATGCGCAGACATGCTACCAGAGGAACATGCGCAGACATGCTACCAGAGGAACATGCGCAGACATGCTACCAGAGGAACATGCGCAGACATGCTACCAGAGGAACATGCGCAGACATGCTACCAGAGGAACATGCGCAGACATGCTACCAGAGGAACATGCGCAGACATGCTACCAGAGGAACATGCGCAGACATGCTACCAGAGGAACATGCGCAGACATGCTACCAGAGGAACATGCGCAGACATGCTACCAGAGGAACATGCGCAGACATGCTACCAGAGGAACATGCGCAGACATGCTACCAGAGGAACATGCGCAGACATGCTACCAGAGGAACATGCGCAGACATGCTACCAGAGGAACATGCGCAGACATGCTACCAGAGGAACATGCGCAGACATGCTACCAGAGGAACATGCGCAGACATGCTACCAGAGGAACATGCGCAGACATGCTACCAGAGGAACATGCGCAGACATGCTACCAGAGGAACATGCGCAGACATGCTACCAGAGGAACATGCGCAGACATGCTACCAGAGGAACATGCGCAGACATGCTACCAGAGGAACATGCGCAGACATGCTACCAGAGGAACATGCGCAGACATGCTACCAGAGGAACATGCGCAGACATGCTACCAGAGGAACATGCGCAGACATGCTACCAGAGGAACATGCGCAGACATGCTACCAGAGGAACATGCGCAGACATGCTACCAGAGGAACATGCGCAGACATGCTACCAGAGGAACATGCGCAGACATGCTACCAGAGGAACATGCGCAGACATGCTACCAGAGGAACATGCGCAGACATGCTACCAGAGGAACATGCGCAGACATGCTACCAGAGGAACATGCGCAGACATGCTACCAGAGGAACATGCGCAGACATGCTACCAGAGGAACATGCGCAGACATGCTACCAGAGGAACATGCGCAGACATGCTACCAGAGGAACATGCGCAGACATGCTACCAGAGGAACATGCGCAGACATGCTACCAGAGGAACATGCGCAGACATGCTACCAGAGGAACATGCGCAGACATGCTACCAGAGGAACATGCGCAGACATGCTACCAGAGGAACATGCGCAGACATGCTACCAGAGGAACATGCGCAGACATGCTACCAGAGGAACATGCGCAGGCATGCTACCAGAGGAACATGCGCAGGCATGCTACCAGAGGAACATGCGCAGACATGCTACCAGAGGAACATGCGCAGACATGCTATCAGAGGAACATGCGCAGACATGCTACCAGAGGAACATGCGCAGGCATGCTACCAGAGGAACATGCGCAGGCATGCTACCAGAGGAACATGCGCAGACATGCTACCAGAGGAACATGCGCAGGCATGCTACCAGAGGAACATGCGCAGACATGCTACCAGAGGAACATGCGCAGACATGCTACCAGAGGAACATGCGCAGACATGCTACCAGAGGAACATGCGCAGACATGCTACCAGAGGAACATGCGCAGACATGCTACCAGAGGAACATGCGCAGACATGCTACCAGAGGAACATGCGCAGACATGCTACCAGAGGAACATGCGCAGACATGCTACCAGAGGAACATGCGCAGACATGCTACCAGAGGAACATGCGCAGACATGCTACCAGAGGAACATGCGCAGACATGCTACCAGAGGAACATGCGCAGACATGCTACCAGAGGAACATGCGCAGACATGCTACCAGAGGAACATGCGCAGACATGCTACCAGAGGAACATGCGCAGACATGCTACCAGAGGAACATGCGCAGACATGCTACCAGAGGAACATGCGCAGACATGCTACCAGAGGAACATGCGCAGACATGCTACCAGAGGAACATGCGCAGACATGCTACCAGAGGAACATGCGCAGACATGCTACCAGAGGAACATGCGCAGACATGCTACCAGAGGAACATGCGCAGACATGCTACAGTGTGGCGAAGCCCACACAGGCCCTGGGCGCCACCCCACGCTAGTAGCCACGGCTCGAGGACGGTAGGCACGTCGGCCTTCCGTCGCAAGGGGAAAACCGTGGTGTAGCGGGAGTAGTCGTCCACCACAATCAGGAAGTAGCGCTCCTGACGTGGGCCAAGGACCGGAGAGGGGCCCCAGACGTCCAAGTGCAGGGTCTCGAAGGGAGCCGTGGTGGGGGGGAACGAGGAGGAGTGAGGGGCAGCGCGCTGTCGACCCTCGACGCAAGGAGTGCACAGCGGCGCAGGCGAGCGGGGAAGCGGTGCAAGCGACCCTGGGAGACCTGAGACCAGACGGTAACGTGCCATCCTACTGAGACGCGGGAACGACGGGTGACCTAGACGGTGGTGCCAGAGGACCGACGGGTGGGTGAGGGACCGACAGTCACACGACACAGCAGCTACCTGACCTGACCTGACCTGACCCGACTCAGTGTGGTGGGACCCAGTGTGTAGTGAGTACAGACCAGATCCCGGCTCTCTGTGGAATGTGGCCAGGGGGCCCCAGTGGCACCGACAGTGCAGGAGGCAACAGGCTCGTCCAGTGGGAAAGTAGTGACTACGCCTAGGTCGTGAAGGTGACTGACACCCACCAAGTTCCTAGAGAACGAGGGGGTGTAGTAACCTGTAAGAAAACCTGAGGGAGCCGCCGGACACGGAAGAGTGGTGGTGCTGCTAGCAACTACACGTCCCACAGAGGGGTCAGCCAAGGCGACAGTGACTGGAGTGCGCAGTGGTGTGAGGTCGGTACAGTCGCGAAAGAAACAGCTGGACGCTCCAGAATCTAGGGTGAAGGAAAGCTGTGCAGTCTGTGGGGTTGCACCCGAACCAGCTACAAAGGCTAGTGCTAGACTAGTGGTAGCTGCAGCTTCTACACAAAGACCCTCAGAGGCGCCGGGACTGGAAACAACACACGCACCAAGACTGGAAACACAGGTCTCTACTCGTGCAGCCGGAAAGGGTCCTAGACCAGGCAGGTGAGACTCAACTGGTGCAGTAGTGCGCTGGCGAAGGCGCGAAGGCCAGTGCGGTGTAATAGCGTGAGGACCAAAACGCTCACGGTGGAGGTCGTCGAGTCGACGGTAGCAGCTGGACGCAGTGTGGTCAGGACTCCAGCAGGTAGTGCCAGCACCAGGGCCTGTCAGGGCCCGGTACCCGCAGGGGCCGACGTCTCGCCCACTGCTAGCTGAGCCACTGCTGGGGGCGCCACACTTTGGACCCGCAGGCCCCAACTGACGGGAGTGCTGCGGCTGGCCCTGCTGCTGTAGAACCCTAGTACATGCCATGTGAGCCTATGCTGCTACTGGTTCTGCTGAGGGCAGCCTAAGCTGCTGCTGGTGCGCTGGGGGCAGCCTGTGCTGCTTCTGGTTCTGCTGAGGGGCAGCCTAGGCTGCTACTGGTTCTCCAGGGGGCAGCCAATGCTGCTGCTAGTGCGCAGGCAGTTGCCTAAGCTGCTGCTGGTGCGCTGGCGGTAGCCTAAGCTGCTGCTGGTGCGCTGGGGGCAGCCTATGCTGCTGCTGGTTCGCTGGGGGCAGCCTATGCTGCTGCTGGTTCTGCTGGTTCTGCTGGTTCTGCTGGTTCTGCTGGTTCTGCTGGTTCTGCTGGTTCTGCTGGTTCTGCTGGTTCTGCTGGTTCTGCTGGTTCTGCTGGTTCTGCTGGGGGCAGCCTACGTTGCTGCTGGTGCGCTGGGGGCAGCCTATGCTGCTGCTGGTGTAGCTGGCGGCAGTGTAATCGGCTGGGGCTACTGACGGCGGGTGTGGTAGGTCGTGGGGAGGCAGGTTTCAGGTGGGGAAGCTGTTAAGGCAGCGGGCTACGGGTGAGGCGGCGGTTCTGTGCAGTTCTGTGCGGTTATGTGCAGTACTGTGCGGTTCTGTGAGGTTCAATGCGGTGGAGAGGACTGGGTGGGGCAGCTGATTCCGGGTGAGGTGCCTGGAACGGGTGGGGCAGCAGGTTTCCAGGTGGGGCGGCGGTTGTCAGGTCTGGGGCGGTGGTTTTCAGGTGGGGAAGCTGTTAAGGCGGCGGTTCTGTGCGGTTCTGTGCAGTTATGTGCAGTTCTGTGCGGTTCAATGCGGTGGAGAGGATTGGGTGGGGCGGCTGATCCCGGGTGAGGTGCCTGGAACGGGTGGGGCAGCAGGTTTCCAGGTGGGGCGGCGGTTGTCAGGTCTGGGGCGGCGGTTTTCAGGTCTGGGGCGGCGGGTTTCCAAGTTCGGCGGCGGTTTTCAGGTCTGTAATGGCGGGTTTTCAGGTCTGGGGGGCGGTTAAGACGGTGGGCTGCACGTGCGCGCGGCCGCGACGTACTAGCGCGAAGCTGCGGGTGCGACTAAGGCTGCGCGCGCAGCTACGCGCGTTCGTCTGCTGCGCGCTAGAGGGCTGGGGGGAAACGCGCGGGGTAAAACGAGT